GATGTTTACCTGTGTTTTATTGACTATGCAAAGGCATTCGACTGTGTGGATCATAACAAATTATGGATAACATTGCAAAGAATGGAAATTCCAGAACACTTAATTTTGCTCATAAGGAACGTGTACCTAGACCAAGAGGCAGTCATTTGAACAGAACAAGGGGATACTGCATGGTTTAATGTCAGGAAAGGTATGCATCAGGGTTGTATTCTTTCACCATACTTATTCAGTCGGTATACTAAGCGAATAATCTGAGAAGCTGGCTTACATGAAGAAGAATAAGTCATCACAATTGGAGGAAGACACATTAACAACCTGCAATATGCAGATGACACAATCTTGCTTGCTGAAAGTAGAGTACTCGAAGTACTTACTGATGAAGATCAAAGACCACAGCCTTTATCATGGATTACACCTCAACATAAAGAAAAGAAAAATACTCACAACTGGACCAATAAACCACAACATGATAAACGGATCAAAGACTGAAGTTATCAAGTATTTCATTCTACTTGGATCCTCAACCAACACCCATGGAAGCAGCAGTCAAGAAATCAAACAATGCATTGCACTGGGCAAATCTGCTGTCAAAGACTTCTTTAAAGTATTAAAAAGCAAAGATGTCATCCTGAAGACTAAGGTGCCCCTGACCCAAGCCATGGTGTTTTCAATCACCTCATATGCATGCGAAAGAAGGACAATGAATAAGGAAGACCGAAGAAGAACGGATGCCTTTTGAATTATGGTGTTGGCAAAGAATACTGAATATATCATGGACTGCTAAAAGAATGAATAAGTCTGTCTTGGAAGAGGTACAACCAAAATGCTCCTTAGAAGCAAGAATGGCGAGACTATGTCTCACATACTTTGGCCATGTTATCAGGAGGGATCAGTCCCTGGAGAAGGACATCAGCTTGGTAAAGTAGGTTATCGAAAAAGAGGAAAACCCTCAATGAGATGGACTAGCACAGTGGCTGCAACAAAGGGCTCAAGCATAGCAACGATTGTGAGGATGGTGCAGAACCTGGCAGTGTTTCGTTCTGTTGTACACAGGGTTGCTATGAGTTGGAACCTACTCGACGGCACCTAACAACAACACAGAGAATGCGTAAAAATAAAATGATTAATAGGCTTGAGACAGAACTCTTTGAAGGATACTTGTTCAGTAGGAGAATTAGTCATTTTTCTTCTCCATCCTATTCTCGCAACCCCTGAAACCTTTATTCTGCTCCCTATGAATTCATTCATTGGTTAGAAAGTGGTCATGTGAGTTCATATGTGATGCTTAGAATCCAAAGAGGAGAACTGCAAAGGACTTTAAATTCATCCAAGAACTTTGGACTCATGAGAAAGAGACAGATTATATCCTCTCACACTTTACAACTTTACAAATGATTTTTATAACATTAGAAACACAAGTTTAGTAATTCTTATATACAAGTAGACAAACACAAACTCTTCTCTAAGACACAATGCTCACCATTAATAGGTAGGTTTTCCATTAGCCTTTCATATTCCTTTCCTTTGAGCTTGATCCCCATGTGTCCCAGAACAGCATCCAGATTGTTCGCATTAACCTTCCCTACTATAGAAACAAAAAGGAAAAGAATATAGGAAAAACACGTCTGTGTATGTATTTCTTAAATTTTCTGTTTTATTATAAAAAAGTTTTAAATGAAAGAGAAAATGTAATCTATATCTTTGTAATACGATTATTACTTTTTTGCCCCTTGCTTTAAAAATTTTTAAGATCATTTTAATATTACACACAGGAGTAATCTGTTATTTTTTAAAGCGTTTTCAACTTAAATTATACCCCACAACTTCAATAACACTCTGCACCTTGGTTTTGTCACTTAACATTGTAATAAAGGGTTATTGCTAAGCTATGTATAGCATCGGGCAAGATAACTAGGATATTGGAGCCCGTAAAAGCACTCAAAGGTCTAGACTTTTGAGAAAGAGCGCCATGCTAGTTTGATCTCCAGATTTGCTTTAGCTTGAATCTATCCCAGTGTCAGAGGAAGTACTAATTCTGATTGCTGTCCTTGGGCAACTGGGGACTTTCAAGCCTTGAGCACAGGGCTTCAAATTTTCTCTTGGTGTATGTGTGTGTTGTCATAAGCATGAGATTTAGTGAGCTTTTGATAATAACAGAACTTCTAACACTTGTATACTGCTTTACATTTACAAAGCACTTAAATTACGGATTTTATTCTTCACAACAATCCTGAGACAGAGGTAGGGTAAGATTTGTCCCATTTTATCATGAGAAAACTTTTTGGAAGACTTTGGGTCAGGGCTTCTGAATCTAAACCTTGTATCCCTTTCAAATATTGCTTTTTAATACAAGATTCTTAATTCCAGCTTAACATGTACCAAAAGCACAGAAACAGACAATTACAGAGTAGGAATTAGAACCTATTTCCTTGTCTTGGAGGCCAAATCTACAGAATAGTTTGAGGGGGGTGAGCAATGGGACTTGGAGAAAATCTACCTGACAAAGAGTAGGGAGCAGTTTTGTTGCCAAGAACCTCATCCAATTCACCAATGACACTTGATAATTTTGGTTTTGCAGTGCTGTTGACCCCCACGCATCTGTCAGTTTGTCATACTGTGGTGGCTTGCATGTTGCTGTGATGCTGGAAGCTATGCCACTGGTATTCAAATACCTGCAGGGTCACCCATGGTGGACAGGTATCAGCTGAGCTTCTAGACTAAGACAGACCAGGAAAAAGGACCTGGCAGTCTACTTCTGAAAAGAATTAGCTAGAGAAAACCTTATGAATAGCAGCAGAACATTGTTTGATATAGTGCTGGAAGATGAGTACCTCAGGTTGAAAGCCGCTCAAAATATAACTGGGGAGAGCTGCCTCCTCCAAGTGGAGTCAACTTTAATGATGTGGATGGAGTCAAGCTTTCAGGACCTTCATTTGCTGATGTGGCATGACTCAAGATGAGAAAAACAGCTGCAAACATCCATTAATAATTGGAATGTGGAATATACAAAGTATGAATCCAGGAAAATTGGAAATCATCAATAATGAAATGGAACATTGATATCCTAGGCATTGATATCCTAGGCATTAGTGTGCTGAAATGGACTGGTATTGGCCATTTTGAATCAGCCAATCATATAGTCTACTATGCTGGGAATGACAACTTGAAGAGGAATGTGTTGTATTCATCGTCAAAAAGAATATTTCAAGATGTATCCTGAAGTACAAGGCTGTCAGTGATAGGATAATATCCACCCTGGTATCGTAGTGGTTAAGTACTATGGCTGCTAACCAAAACGTCGACATTGGGAATCCCCCAGGTGCTCCTCGGAAACTCTCTGGGGCAGTTCTACTCTGTTGTATAGGGTCGGTATGAGTCAAAATCAACTCGACAGCAACAGGTTTGGTGTTGGACGAGGAAGACCAGTTAATATGAGTATTATTTAAATTTATACACCAACCACTAAGGCCAAAGATGAAGAAATTGAAGGTTTTTACCAACTTCTGCAGTCTGAAATTGATCAAACATGCAATCAGGATGCATTGGTAATTACTGGTGATTGGAATGCTAAAGTTAGAAACGAAGAAGAGGGATTGGTAGTTGGAAAATATGGCCTTGGTGATAGAAACTATGCTGGAGATTGCATGATAGAATTTTGCAGGACCAATGACTTCTTCATTGCAAATATCTTTTTTCAACAATATAAACGGTGACTATACACATGGACCTTGCCAGATGGAATACACAGGAATCAAATCAACTACATCCGTGGAAAGAGATGATGGAAAAGCTCAATATCATCAGTCAGAACAAGGCCAGGGGCCAACTGGAACAGAACATTAATTGCTCATATGTAAGTTCAAGCTGAAGTTGAAGAAAATTAGACAAGTCCACGAGAACCATAGTACGACCTTGAGTATCTCCCACCTCAACTTAAAGACTATCTCAAGAATAGATTTAACACATTGAACACTAATGACCAAAGACCAGACGAGTTGTGGAATGCTATCAAGGACATCATACATGAAGAAAGCAAGAGGTCATTAAAAAGATAAGAAAGGAAGAAAAGACCAAAATGGATGTCAGAAGAGACTCTGAAACTGTCTTGAACGTTGAGTAGCTAAAGCAAAAGGAAGATATCATGAAGTAAAAGAGCTGAACAGAAGCTTTTAAAGGGCGGCTCGAGAAGACAAAGTATTATAATGAAATGTGTAAAGACCTGGAGATAGAAAACCAAAATGGAAGAACATGCTTGGCATTTCTCAAGCTGAAAGAACTGAAGAAAAAGTTCAAGCCTCATGTTGCAATACTGAAGAATTCTATGGGGAAAATATTAAACAATGCAGAAAACATCAGAAGAAGATGGAAAGAATACACGGAGTCACTGTACCAAAAATAATTCGGTCAATGCTCAACCATTTCAGGGGGTACAGAAGACAACATGGAATGAGGGATATCATTGTTGACGTCAGATAGATCCTGGCTGAAAGCAGAGAATACCAGAAAGATGTTTACCTGTGTTTTATTGACTATGCAAAGGCATTCAACTGTGAGGATCCATAAAAAATTATGGATAACACTGCAAAGAATGGGAATTCCAGAAAACTTAATTGTGCTCATGAGGAACCTGAACATAGATCAAGAGGCAGTCGTTTGAACAGAACAAGGGGATACTGCATGTTTTAACGTCAGAAAAGGTGTGCGTCAGGGTTGTATCCTTTCACCATACCTATTCAGTCTGTATGCTGAGCAAATAATCCAAAAACCTGGACTATATGAAGAAGAACGGGGCATCGGGATTGGAGGAAGACTCATTAACAACCTGCAATATGCAGATGACACAACCTTGCTTGCTGAAAGTGAAGAGGACTTGAAACACTTACGGATGAAGATCAAAGACCACAGCCTTCAGTATGGATTACACCTCAACATAAAGAAAAGAAAAGTCCTCACAACTGGACCAATAATCAACATTATGACAAACAGAGAAAAGATTGAAGTTGTGGTTTCATTTTACTCAGATCCACAATCAACACCCATGGAAGCGGCAGTCAAAAAATCAAACGACGCATTGCATTGGACAAATCCACTGCCAAAGACCTCTTTAAAGTGTTGAAAAGCAAAGATGTCACCTTGAAGACTAAATTACGCCTGACCCAAGCCATGGTGTTTTCAATCGCCTCATATGCATGCGAAAGCTGGACAATGAATAAGGAAGACCAAAGAAGAATTGGCGCCTTTAATTTGTCATGCTGGTGAAGAATACTGAGTATACCACGGACTGCCAAAGGACAAACTAAAATGTCGTGGAAGAAGTACAACCAGAATGCTCCTTAGAAGCTAGGATCGTGAGATTTCATCTCACATACTTTGGACATGTTATCAGGAAGGATCAGTTCCTGGAGAAAAACATCATGCTTGGTAAAGTAGAGGGTAGTGAAAAAAGAGGAAGACCATCAATGAGATAGACTGACACAGTTGCCGCAAAACTGGGCTCAAACACAGCAACAACTGTGAGGATGGCGCAGGACCAGGCAGTATTTCGTTCTGTTGTATATAGGGTTGCTATGAGTCGGAACCAACTTGACACCTAACAACTGTTGAAATAATGTTCAGAAGTATAGTTTATGATGTTTGAAGATTATAAAGAATTTATTTTCATTTAAAAATAGGAATATAAAAGCAAACCTACATATCACCTAGGATAATGATAAAAATAACTTTACCAAAACATCCTATAAAGTTGACACAATAGTGGTGGGTTGACATTATATGTTAAGCAAAGTTTTCTGCAGCAATTACCATAATATCTAACAATTATTGAGTGGTTACTATGTTATAGATATTGTCCTAAGCAATTTACACATATCAGCAGTTTGATTGTCACAATAACCCTAGGTGGTTTGAAATTTTACTGTCCTCGTTTTACAAATAAGAAAACTCAGACAATGAGGGATTAAGTAACTTTCCATAGTCACCAGTAAGTAGGAGAGGCCATCTGGCTTCAAAGCCCATTAACCTTCAGCTACTTCACTAACAAAAAGCCATCTTTCAAAATAGGAGGCCCAGGGCGCAGAAAAGATAAGCAGAACTTCACTTGGGAAAAAAGAAAAGAACAGGCCTCTCCCGCCCCAGCTTGAGTAGGGGGACTAACAACTTAAGCTTCTGATCATCAATGCCTATCCTGTATTAATATACTCAACAGAATGGATAAAGCATTAAAAACAAACAAACACTCACTCAACAGAACAGAAACAGCAGAGAGGAAGAATTAAAGTGCGGCAGCACCATGGACAGCATTTACCACATTGTTCACACACCGCTCCAGACTGCTACTCTTCCCAAGGGTCTAAGAATGTCAGCAGGCAGAATTCCACCCTGAGGAGACTTATTTCACCAGGTGTCCCTTCCCTACTTTCTCCCTACTTACTTTCTGTTCTTGCTCTAAGAACTGAGAAGAGTCAGAAGAAGTAAAGCAGCTCACAAGCCTATTCCTTTGTTTTATGTTTACTATTAAACTGCCTTCGACAACCACAAAAAATACTTAAGATGAAACCTAAAGAATTAGTAAGTGAAATTTAATGCAAAATATTTGTATATAAGTAGGACTTTGATGCAGTTTAGTCAATTCTCAGTAAAACTGGTCACTTTTCATTATTTGCTTTGTTAAGTTTTCAAATGAATTTTTGTAGGTAAACTTTAGAAATATTCAGGAGAATATGGACTCTTTCCAAAGGTATATTACAAGTTGTTCTGTAAAATACTTATGTAATGTAAGGTATTAAATTGGGAATGTAGACAGAAGCGTAACATTAGTAACACACACACACATATAAATGTTAACTTTGGGAATTTCAGGCTTACCTGCCTTCGAGTTTCTTACCTTGGAGAGACTTTACAGTATCCAATAAATTCTTCTGAAATACCTTTCCAGCATCTGTAAAAATAAAGGTACAGTACATATATTCTCAAAGTTATGGGTTAACCTCAACAAGGTAGTTTAGAACATTTTTTTTATGATTTGCCTAAGAAATTTATTCTATCTCCCCATCAAGCAAAACTGAGACCAGAGAAAGAAAAGTCTAAATATGACAAATCTATTTTGGCAGCTGAGGCAACAGTTAAGGGGACTTTACTATCTGGAAACATTCCCTTATCTCATTTCCCCTTTTTATTCTCTGACTTGTCTTTCCTTTCATTTTACTAGACTCTCACTCTCCACAGTTTCGTTCCTTTTCCTGTTTATTATTCAGACCTTTCAGTGGCCTACATGAGTAATAGTAAGACATTTTCTTAGGTCCTGACCTGATATCAATACTTGGTGGCTCTCCAATGAACTTACATTTTTAAAATCATTTTCAGCAAGTTTAAGAAGAAACATGTAAGTAAAATTTAAAACTTTTTATACAGGGCTGAAAATCAACCTCCCTGGGAGGCCTTAGTGTCACCTCTATGGCTCACCATCAACTGGCAGAGTTTTTTGCAGCTTTTTAAGCTCCTGTTCTGTGAGCTGGATCCCCATATTTCCCAGAACTTTCTCCAAGTCACTGGCATCAACTTTTTTTCCTTTCAAAAGACAGAAATGTTTTAATAAAATTCAGAAAACTCTAATGGCTCCCAACAATGGTGAAAAATTCATTTTTGCCTAAACTATATGATACTTTATTTGAGAAAGCGTAAGAACAGAAGGAGAAACATTCAGCTTTACAGAGTTAAGAAAAAGCCACAAATAAAACATAGTCCATTAATTTTTATAAAAGGAAGACTCTGCTGAATATAAGATAACACAGCAGAGAACAAATTTGGGGTCATAATTGGCCAATGAATTAAATAAGGTAATAGAGATGGAAAAATTTATACATTCTTCCAACAATTACTGGAATTACCTTTTTAATATGAATATTATAATATTTTCTACACAATTATAATATTTTTATCTTAACAAAGTTTTTCTAATTTACTAAGCAAATCTTAATTTGAAGTCCTTAGATAATGGTAAAGAGAACTATCTTGCTCTGTTTAAAAATACATCAGAATGTTAGATAATGCAAACTGAAGCTGTAGGGATTAAAAGGAAGTATTTTATCACAAATGTGTAAAGAGCTAAAATGTACAAGTCTGTTTATATTGAAAAAATGCCATTGAAAAACATAATACAGTATAAACATGAAGCTCCCATTTTAAGTAATTTATTACTCACCAGTAAAAGCTTTCAATCCTTCCATTAACATTTTCATATCAACTTTCCCATTAACTGTAAGGAAAACATGTAAATCAAATATTGAAATGATACTGACACACAGATATAATGTGAAATCACCAATATTTATTCATGGAATTTCATTTTCACCCCCTTCAAAAATATTTTTACACGTTAAGGAAAAAAAACTATAAATATGACTCATTTCAACAGATTCAGGGCAATGAAATCATATTTATAGCAATATGTCTGTTTCAACAACGCACCTTGATTTATCGATCATTCTTTTATTATCAGAGTTTTCAGATTCAGGTCTCTTCTTTTCATGGAACTTTTATTTGTTTTTTAGCTTTTTTTTTTTTTTTTTTGCTTTTTTATAAGTGTTTGCATTTTAGGCTGATTTTCAACATTTTTTTCCACCAAACTTAGAACGCGTTTCCTTTCCAGGGGCATCATTGCTAAAGAACGTTTTCCAAGTTTCCCCGGCACGGCTCTTGCTTAAATGTAAACATATATCGCTTTATCAACGGATTGCTAGAATTACGTACATAGCACGTAGAGAATGCCCTATCTCTTCTGCCTGTACGTGTTTGTTTTGTTTTGTTTTATAATTTAGATTCGTTGTAGTTGTTGAGTGCACATTTTGTATTTATGTCTAACTGATTCAAAACAACACACACACCCTGCCACAGAAAACACAAATTGTGTTGTTATGTGTGTCTGTGAAGAAGGAAATTCTCCTCCAAACTCGGCTCCAACTGTGGACTTTAGTGTTGACTATTCCTTCTTGTTGTTGTTGTTAGTTGCCTTCCAGTGGATTCCAACTCATGGCAAACACCATGTGTGTTAGGGTAGAACTGTGCTCCGTGGGGTTTTCAAGGCTGTGACCTTTCAGAAGCAGATCGCCAGGACTTTCTTCGGTTTTTAAGCTTTTTAACAGTAAAGAACCAACTATCCATTTTGTTCAGTCCCAAAAGAGTAAGATTTAAATTTAGTAAACTATTCTATACTGTTTAAATTGGATTTTTGAAACTGTCATCTACTCAATATTTCCCTGCCATTTTCACTGGCCTAAAAAACCAAAAATTCCAAACCAGTTGCTGTTGAGTTAATTTAGACTCAGAGTAGAAGTGCAATCCATAGCATTTTCATTGGCATTTTGGAAGCAGATTGCCAGGCTTTCTTCCAAGGCACCTCTAGGTGGGTTCAAACCACCAACCTTTCAGTTAGTAGTTGAGGGCTTAACTATTTGCACCACCCAGGAACTTGATTTCATTGACTTAGGTAGTGTTATGTAGTGTTATTTATTCCCTTGTATTGCATAACTAAATTATTGATCATTTTGCAGCCTGGGAATAGCCCTTATATAATGGAATTTAGTGCAATAATGTCAGAATGTATGCAACTGCATAAGTAGAGAGAAGATTCTGCACATTCTGGCCTGCATGTTTTATGGCCCTTGGCTCTCATGGTAGCTGATGGAAATCTGCCAGTGTCTACGATGTAGGGAATATATCCCAGAGCTCTCATTCCTCCCTGTCTCCTTTTCTTCTTCTTGTCTGTGTAAGTGGATGAGAGGAGGATAACATTTGAATAATTTTCCACCTTTGGCAATGTTTATTTTCTCTCTTTTTATTTCTCTAGTTTTAAGTTTCTTCCATTTTATGTTTTCTCTGTGAACTTTCCTGTACAAATTGTCTCTAAATCTTCAGGGGTCTAATAGGAAATATGATCATATTCTAAATATTAGTGAATCTGGAAAATTGCTGAAATGTAATTTTTAAAATATCAAGGGACAAAATTAATTTACTGCCAGCCTAGATTCTTCTCTAAGTTTTTCTAAATATATATTAGTGTAAAATAAGCATTTTTGGAGGTTCTTATATAGAAGCCGAGATTCTCAGATTGTCCTGAGCAACTTAAATATGTCTTTGCTGCTTACCATCAACTGGTAAGTTTTGCTTAATGTCACTAATTTCCTTTTCTGTGAGATTCACCTCCATGTTTTGCAAAACAGTGTCCAGTTTACTGACATCAACAACCCCACCTTGGGAAAAAGAGAGATATATGAGAAAAACCTAATTATTATATATTAACAAAAGGTATTTTTCCAGCGAATTATGATTATTATGTTGCATGATGACTAAGACCCAATGAGGTCTGTTCAAGTATACCAAGAATGTCAATAACAAGAGTTAGAAATAGAATATCTTCTCTCTATCTGGTTTTTGATAGCCAGCCAATTGAGCAGCTACTTAGCAATTTATCGTAAAGGAAAATATAAATCTAAGCTTTTAACCAATAAGTAGTGTTTGCTTTTGTTTTCTCAATTTCTCAGTTGCATGTCTCAACTTTACTGAAATGTCTAATCAGCTTTGATTTCTACCATTTTTGTAAAAAGTGCTGGCATAAACTCTGATTATTTTCTTCCCTGACGAAACCTGGAAAATCTCAAGGGTATAGGACTACCCTCCATGACAACTCACAGGATTGTCTGCTAAAATAAATTCAGATCTACAGAAGGAACATATACATGGTATCAGTATATAGTCAAGATGGCAGGAATAACAATTTAATGATTAGAAAATTGTATAAATATAAAACATGAAGATCTCACATTCATCTACCATGCCCTTATGCACTTCACTCACCTTTAAGGGATTTCACACCATCCATCAATCTCTTCTGAGAGACCTTTCCATTAGCTGTAAGAAAAGCACAAATCAAGTCACAGAAGGGATGTAGAAATTCATTAAGTCATTTTAAAAGCCATAATTTCAGAAAGACAAGACTTAATGATTTTCCCTATAGAAGTGATCACAAAATTATAGAGTGAAAAAAGTTCTTAATGTGGCCTCTCTACCAACTCAATGGCCCCATACCTCTTAACTTGCCATGTCTTCTTCTCTCTAATTGATTTCTCCTCTTTTAGTTCACACCTATTCAATTTATTTTCTCATACCTCCCAGCTTAGTCTCAGGGAAGCCTTCTCATTGGTTTCAAAAGAAAGAAAAGACATTTCCTTGTCCTGATTGACAGCAGATTATTTCCAAACTAAAAATTAAATAACACAGTTGGGCTTTTTTTTTTAAAGTAGAACTATAAGAAATTCATTCCAAAATTTTTTGGAAAGCCTTTCTTTTTTTAATGGCTATCAAATGAATCTAAATTATGGAAGTTTTCACAAAAACGTGTACAACTCTAAATTCTTCTAAATGCTATAACATTATTTGAAATGCTTACAATCAACTGGCAGATTGTTCATCAGCTCCAGTCTTCCTTTAGGTGTGAGCTCTATCCCCATATTTTCCAGAATACTTTTAATATCATTAACATCAACCTTTTCTCCTTGAAAATGTAGAAATATAGGTAGATGAAAATTATAAGAATAATCTAAGAATGCTAAATATTAAAAAAATACACACACAGGATTTAATAATCTCCCATTAATGATATCATTTAATAATATTATAGTAGGTGATCCAATTTATTTTTTAAACATTCTTTTATTTATGACATCACTTATATTTTTATTTATTTCATCATTAATGTTGTTATCCAAGATTATGCTGTTTATGCAGTCATGCATGAGGCAAAAACTCCAAAGAGCAAAGAAAATGTCAACATAGTCTAAAGCCAAACCCTAGAAAGTTAGATACAAATATTTCCACAATACAAATTTTAAAGGGAATTTACAAGAATGATGTGAAAAACTCATTAAATTAAAACTGAAAAAACAAACAAACAAACAAACCCAGTGCTGTTAAGTCGATTCCAACTCATAGCAACCCTACAGGACAGAGTAGAAGTGCCCCACAGGGTTTCAAGGGGCGTCTGGTGGATTTGAAGTGCCAACCTTTTGGTTAGCAGCCGTAGCTCTTAACCACTACACCACCAGGTTTCCATAAATCAAGGTAAAGAAATAGGATCTTAGATTCATAGTATTTTCTCACTAATCTGTAACAGCTTTTACTATATCCACAAATTTATAGAGATCAGTCTTCTTTTCAACTACAAGAAAAGTCATAATTGAGAGATAGATAATGAAAAAGTCTCATAGAAAGGTATTAGTTAAATTTGGAAATAAGATCTATCTATATACCTACCAAAAAACAAACCAACCAACCAACCTATAGCTAACTATTATTTGATGATAAAACATTAAATTCCTTTCCCCTAAGATTAGGAACAAAGATTGTTCACTAACACCTCTTCCATTCAACATTGTACTAGCCAGTGCAATAGCGAAAGAACATTTTTTGAAAAGGAAGAGGTAGAAATATTTTCAGATGACATGATTGTGTAGGTAGAAATCCTATGGAATCTAAAAAAAACTACTTGAACTAATAAGTGAGTTTAATCAGGTTGTGGTATACAAGATCATGATAAAAATCAGTTGTATTTCTATATACTAGCAATAAACATCAACACCCATCTGTCAGTTTGTCATACTGTGCTGGCTTGTGTGTTGCTATGATGCTGGAAGCTATGCCACTGGTATTTCAAATACTAGCAGGGTCCCTCATGGTGGACAGGTTTCAGTGGAGCTTACAGACTAAGACAGACTAGAAACAAAGGGCTGGTGATCTATTTCTGAAAATCATCTAATGAAAACCCTATGGATCACAACAGGACACTATCTGATGTAGTGCTGGAAGATAAGCCCTCTAAGATGGAACATACCAACAATCGTGAGGATTCCCACTTCCCCCAGGATGCTGTCCAAATTACTCACATTAACCTGCCCTCCTTAGGAAAGCAATTAGGATGGAAAATGAGAAAAATGGAATGTTTCCAAAATATTAAAAATACATTCATTTATGCATACTGTTAGTTCAATAAGCATGTGTTACTGACAAAAAAAGGGAGAAAATGAAATTCATGTCTTTGTATTATCATTTAACATTGTTAAGAGGACCATGAAGACTTTAATTTGACTTTTTTAATTGTTCAGAAAGATTCAATAGGATTAACTAGCTGCAAAAGACCTCTTTAAACTGTTGAAAAGCAAAGACATCACTTTGAGGACTCAGGTGTGCCTGACCCAAGCCATAGTTTTTTTAATCACTTCATATGCATGGGAAAGCTGAACAATGAATAAGGAAGTCCGAAGAAAAACTGATGTACTTGTATTATGGCGTTGGCAAAGAATATTGAATACACCATGGACTTCCAGGATAACAAACAAATCTACCTTGGAAGAATTACAGCCAGAATGCTCCTTGGAAGTGAAGATGGTGAGACTTCAACTCATGTACTTTGGACATGTTATCAGGAGGGATCAGTCCCTGGAGAAGGACATCATGCTTGGTAAAGTAGAGAGTCAGCAAAAAAGAGGAAGACCCTTAACGAAATGGACTAACACAGTGGCTGCAACAACGGGCTCAAGCATAACAATGATTGTGAGGATGGCACACGACCGGGCAGTGTTTCGTTCTGTTGCATACAGGGTCACTATGAGTTGGAACTGACTCAACAGCACACAACAATAACAAATTTACTTTTACCTTATTTTGAGAACAACCTGAGATAGTAAAATGTCCCTAAATAAGGTGATTTAGCACCTAGAGCCAGAGACAATAGATCTCATCCTTTCAAACAATAACAAGGAACCATTTTCGTTTGCCTGAAGTTCCAGATTTTTTTCTGCGGAGTAATTGCTAATCCTTCACTTCAGTGTTTGCTGTGGATACTTAGATTTGAATTTGCAGTTTAAAATTGTTTCATCTTATTTCCACTCTCCATTTCTCCAATTTGTTATCTTTTTCCTGACTCTTCTCTCGCCTTTCATAGTCATTGTCAACCTTGGCACTACTTACGATTTACGGTAAAGAAGTTGCTAATATAATAAAGTTTTTGAGACAGCAATTATTTATTTACAGATGTGTTCTTCTGTGAGTGTCTAAAACATCTTGTTAGTGTCAAAGGAGCAGCTTTAGAGATTCTTTTTATCAGTTCATAGCCCAAGACCCCTTGAGTGACTCAATGCTATATTAAATGCTCAGTATTAATTTGCAGACTTTGTTTCAGATCATAAAGTTCCTTTGCTATGAGATTCAATCTCCTGTTATCCAGAAGTGTGGATAATTTGTTGATATCAATCATCCTCCCCTTAAAAAATCGAGAGGAATGAGACTAAAATTTAGTGATTCTCAAATGTTACTAAACTTGTTAATTCCTATGTATTATGACTATCAGTTTTATTAGCACAAAGACCATGGTCAAATAAATTCTGTTCGAATGTTTAAAAGATGTTCAACAATATAGCTAGAATAAAATTTCTTCCCTTGACCAGTCCACACTGCAGAAGGTTTAAAAGAGTATTGATTAACCGCTTAGGAAAATACAGCTTTGGGGATGACAGATTTAATACTTCTATCCAATAAGTATGATGTTTTTGTTGATTCTACATCCAGAGAAATTATTCTTTGAGTAAATTTTTTAACAACTACTAACTTTTTGTTCACTAATCACTCTTCAGACTAGCCTCAGCTTATTTTCTTCTTTGTTAGAGATTTCAATAAATTATGAAACTTGCCCCCTAAGATATAACATAGGAAATGATCTACAAAAGTATAAATAGATTAAAAGAAGCATAAATATGCCATCAGAATATTTGAAAGGTGGCAGGGATCAAAACTTAATGTCTATGTCTTTCACACATTTTTAAAGGCCTTCATGCCATCCACCATCCATCAGCCTATTCTGACAGATTTTTCCATCAGCTGTAAGAAAGATACAAATCAAGTCTCCCTGAAGTGATATGAAGATTCATTAAGGGAGTACAAAAGCCATGATATCACAAAGTCAGATTTTATCTTTCCCTACAAGTTACAAATCTACTCTCAATAATTTAGAAAAAAAAAAATGAAACGGAGAAAATTCTTAATGAGGCTACTCCTTTCATTCATTGGTACCTAACGCAGTTATTGCTGGGGCTCAGCATGCTGAAACACCCTCTCCTCTATTTCTCCTTTATAATTTCTCATTTCTATCCATCATAATACTTTTCCATGCCTTTCTTTTCCCCTTAATTCTCATTTTAAACTTTGGAAGTCTCAATGGATTCAGTAATAATAGCCAGCATTTCTCATCTGTGGTAGCAAGATTTCTGACTAAAGAGTCAACCAATTCCCAAACAAAAAATGAGATGGCCCATTTGGGATTTCTTCTTAAAATAGTAATATCTTCTAAAAGTTGTTTGGGATAGTATTTATTTTTGACTTAGGAAATGGGATTGTTACAGAAGTTCTTATAATTATGTTTATATGTTTAAGGTTATTAAATAAACATACAATAAGTTCCTTTGAAGGGATGGACATGTAATAAGTACATTGTCTTTGAGATGCTCACCATCAACTGGCAGACTGTTCATCAACACCCAGTGTTCCTTATCTGTTAGTTCTATCCTCATGTTTCCCAGAACTTTTTCCATGTCATTGACATCGACGTCTCCCCCTTCAAAGCAAAAGAAATGGAAACTTTTGGGAATCTTGTGAATAATGTCATGATTCCATACAATAATTTAAAAAATTAATTTATGCAGCATTACATCTAACTGCTGGATGAACAGAGACCTGACCTACCAAACAGAACACTGGGCCTTCAGATAAAAAAAAAAAAAAAACCTTCTCCTTAGTTCTACCGTAATTTCTCAATGATGGGTAAGGCAACAGAGTATACAATTATGAGTATATAATTTACAGTAAATTAGGATGATATAAATTGCAGATCCAAATAATTTTATGAGTTGGTACTTGTTTTACTTTGAGATCACATCTAATTTTACCAAAACTTTCCTTCACCATTTACTGTGCTGAACTAAAATTTAGCTTTCCCACCACAGGATAAAATATATTAATTATTGGCAAGGATTCCAGATAATAAAGTTGGAAATAAAAGAGCACAATGAAGTTTTATTGCTAAGAATGTCAACAGTCCAATATCTAACTCTAGGCATTTATACACAAATATTTCATTCAGTTCTGCTGCAAAAGACCTCTTTAAAGTGTCAAAAAGCAAAGTCACTTTAAGGACTAAGGTGTGCCTGACTCAAGCCATAGTTTTTTCAATCACCTCATAGGCATGTGAAACCTGGACAATGAATAAGGAAAACCGAAGAAGAACTGACACCTTTTGAATTATGGTATTGGTGAAGAATATTGAATATACCATGGACTGCCAGAAGAATGAACAAATCTGTCTTGGAAGAAGTACTGATCCTTAGAATCAGGGATGGTGAGACTTCATCTCATATACTTTGGATACGTTATCAGGATGGATCAGTCCCTGGAGAAGGACATCAAGCTTGGTAAAGTAGAGGGTCAGCGAAAATGGAAAATCTTCAATGAGATGGATTGATACAGTGGCTGCAACAATGGGCTCAAGCATAACAACAATCATGAGGATGGCACAGGACTGGGCAGTGTTCTGTTCTGTTGTACATAGGGTGTCTATATGAGTCAGAACCCGCTTGACAGCACCTAACAACAACAACAAAAAGCGGGCATATAATGGATTTTAAAAGCCCATAACAAGCACGATGTGGAAACAGCACTACATGATAGTTTAGTGGAAAGAATTAGGTTCTTAGATATATAGAAGCGTCTTATCTACTCACCTGTAACAGCTTTTACTCTATCCATTAAGACACTGACATCAACCTTCCCATCAGCTATAAGAAAAGAATCAGAATTCAGAAAATGATACACTTTTAGAATAAAAACATAAAGTTTCTATACTGTGAAACAAACTCCTGGCAAAGTCCATTATTTCTACTACTTTATTTGAGTACCTTTTCAGTTTGGAGCCCTGGTTAAGAGCTCGGCTGCTAACCAAAAGGTCGGCAGTTCGAATCCACTAGCTTTTCCTCAGAAACCTTGTAGGGCAGTTCTACTCGGTCCTGTATGGTCACTATGAGTCAGAATCGACTCGACAACACTGGGTTTGGTTTTGGTTTTTTTCTAATATACTATAATTTCCGGCTTTCTGAGATTCTTTCTATATTAGTAAGATGGACTGTGTGTCAGCAAGATGGAATAAAAAAACATTTTGTGATTCTGCATTACTTAAACACTACAGGACAATTTATGCTGTACATGTTTCTCTGGGCACTCTTACTTTGGAGACACAAAACTTGTACAGGCAGCACTGGGAAAAGAAGTGAAGACCATAATGCTCATCTCACATCTTTTGCTAATATACTTTCCCACATTCTTTTCAACCACTATGTTCATTTCACAATGGCTGATGACTATTACTCCACATTTACAGCATTAACAGTTCTTTATTACTCTACACAATTCTCATATTTTTCTTGTTATTTTCTGCTCATTTCAGTTCATCTCTTGATTCATCTTTCCACACTCATTCATTCTCCTGAGAATAAAATATATAAATCACTCACCATCAACTGATAGATCTGGAATTAGATCATTAAGTTCCTCAGTTGTGAGTTTGCTTGCCATGTTTCCAAGGACAGTGTCAAGGTCGTGAACATCAACTTTCAACCCTACAAAAGGGAAAGACACAAGGAAGTTGAAATTAAAGTCAAAATACATATTAATTCTTAGGCATCATAATTATCAAATCCATCATAAATAAAAGAGCCCAAGGGCATTTAAGTGTTTAAAGGGGGCCATTAATCGACTAAAATTAATCTATTTGTTTACATCTACTCTTGAAGATAAGCCCACATACCACAAAATGTTGAAAGACAGTTAAGAAACCACTCAGGATGATTACAGCAGTGAAACAGAAAATCTAACAGTTTTTAATACAAATATTTGATACAAATAAGTAGGATTCAGTTTGGTCACTGTATTTCAAGATTACACTAGCCTCCCTAATGGTCAGTTCTTTCTTCAAATTTTGTTATCTAGGCCTATATTTTATTATTTCTACAGCCAACATTGAAATAAAACTAACATATCAAGAACATATTTAAAAAATAAAACAGATTATTCCATAAATATAAATATGTGTATGTATTATAATTAATTATGGAAATGTATATGAGAATGGCAGCAAGAAAAATCTAATGACAAGGAAAAATCATAAAAGATAGTACCAAGTATTAGCAAGGATGTGAAGCGGCTAGAACTTCCATACACAGTTGGAAAATAAAATGTTACAACTACTTTGGAAAACTGATTGACAATATCTAATAAAATATCCTTATAACACAGCAATTTCATTTCTAGGTATATATCCACAAGTTCATTAAAGGCATGGGAAAGAATATTCATAGAAGTATTGTTTGTAACCACCTCAACCTAGAAATACACTTTGATGGTAGCACGGGTAAATACACTATGGGATATTTTTACAATGGAATATTTCACAGCAATGTATTCAGGTTACAACGAATTAATTAGAAATCATCCCACATACCAAAACAGGTTTCCCAAAGACCTCTAGTTGATTATAGTTTAGTAGGCATTATATGTATTTTAAACATATAAAATGCCAGGTCTTTATAATATACAGCAATGAAAATTAATAAACTATTTCTACATGTAACAATATGGACAAATCTCAGAGAATAACATATAAATGATGTTAAGTGAGAGAAGTCAGACATAATAGAATACAGACTGTATGGTTTCATTTGTAAAGTAATAGTACATGTGGTGGGTGATAGGAAACAGAGGAATCACGAATGAACCCCATATGTTTAGGTGACCAAATGGATAGTGGAAGCAGAAATAAGTAGAAAAAAGAGGACTAAGAGACTGTTTAGGCAGGGAAATAATGAGTTCAGTTTTAAATATGTTGAGAAAAAAGATGCCTCCTGTAATATACCCAAGTATAAATGTCTAACAGGCATTTGGATATACCAATCTGAAGTCCAGGAGAGAGGTCTGAATTGAGATACAGATTTGAAATTCATTGGCATGTAGGTGATAGGCAAAACCATATCGATGACAAACTAGAGACAGTATGTTAAATGAAAATCAGAAAGGAATGAGAAGACCCAGAAGGGTGGAACAACAAGAAGAAGCCAACAGAACAGAGTTTTAAGAAGGTCAGAATCATCACCAATATCAAAGACAGCAGAGAGCTCCAAAAAGAAACAGGCTGAATAATGTAGAATCCATTTGGCAAAGAGCAAGTTACTAGAGTCCATAGAAAAGTTTCAGAAGTGTTGTGGGGCTGAGTTAGAGGGAACGAATGAATGGGAAATGTGGAAAGGATATACACTGACTTTATTCCACTCTTCCTTTTCTGTCCTTTCATTCTGCTTCCTGAACATTCACAGATATGAGAGATGGTCCTGGAAGCACTCTAGTTAAATACTTTATATTCTATATGGATTCGGAAAATGTTCTTACTATAGGACTGGATTTGTTTTCTGAGATTTTGCAAGATTTTTATTATCACAAAAGTAATCTGGTTTCAGATATATTCATACATAGACCCTCCAAACCAAGCTCTCAAAGAACTTTTTATATCTAAAATGAGTCACCATCAACTGGAAGTTTTCTTGTCAGGTTTTTTTTGGTGAGGTTAATCTCCATGTTTCCTAGTATATTGTCCAGGTTTCTGATATCTACCTTCTCTCCTTAGGAAAGAGAAATATAAAAATCCCCAATAATAGCAAAATGTTCCACTTATTTTGCCTATGCATTATAAGTACCCCCTTTTTTGTGGGGAGGAGAGTAGGCAGACTCAAGAACCCTGAAACCTGTCTAAGTTTACATAGAGACTCAATATGATTAGAATTAGGCTCACTTCCCTTAAACTTTTGTTTTACATAAACATAAACACTGTAAATTTCTAAAGGGAGCAAAAATATGTTCTAGTGTATTATTCTTAGGATAAAAATAGGCAGTTCTGCTTGAAAACATTATGCTAAGAAAAATAAGCCAGACACGAAGGGACAAATATTATAAGATTCCACTTTTATGAAATATCTAGAACAGGCAAATTTATAGAGACAGAAAGTAGATTAGAGGGTACCAAGGGCTGGGGAAAGGAGGGAATAGGGAATTATTGCTTAATGGATACAGAGTTTCTTTTTGGGGTGATGAAAAACTTTTGGAAATAGTGGTGATGGTATCACAACATGGTGAATGTAATTAATGCACTGGAATTGTACACTTAAAAATGGTTATAATGGAAAATTTATGTTATATTTTACAATTAAATTTTTTTTAAAAGAAAAAATAGGTTTGGTGAAATAAGAACATTACTACAGTTGGAGTAAGAACACATGGATTTGAATTCTGTTCTCTAAAAATGTATTAGCTATCGGCACTTGGGTAGATAACCTGTTTGATTTCAAGTTTTATCTTGTATGAAATAAAGATGATCCTACCTATCTCACAGAGCCGCTGTGAGGATAAAGTAAACACATGTGAAAGCATCTAGAACTCTGCCAGGCACATAGAAGGTGTGATGGATGGTACATCTTATGTGTCAGCGTGACTAGGCTATGGTGCCCAGTTGTTTGGTCAAACACTTGTCTAGCTGCTGTTATGAAGCAGTTACAGGTAATTAAATCAGTTGGCCTTAAATAAAGCAGATCACCTTTCACAGCGTGGGTGGACCTAAACTAATCAGTTGAAGGCATTAAGAGCAAAAACAAGTACTCCAGGGTATGTTCTGCCTCCAGACTATAAATAGACATCTTGCCAGCACTCTCTCACTCTTCACTCTTTAATCTTCCCATTGCCAGACCTATGGATTTTCGGACATAAGCCTGGAGGAACATCTAGCCTGTTGACATATATATATATGCCTCACCAGTTCTATTTCCAGAGAACCCTGACTAAGACAGCAGGTGCTTGATACATTTTAATAAGTACCTCTAAGCAAAAGTAGGGTTGGGTTTCCTTTTTTAACCCAAGCTAGATTCATTGCCTATGCTTACCACAATCACTGAATGGTTACTCTCTTGTTGTACATTTTACAACTACAATAATAAATTATGTCTTTTCTCTAGGAACGTTTATTAAAACTCGTATCAATATGACCAATATAAATAAAAAAAAAAATATAAGACATTCTGCCCAAACAAAATTATTTAAAATCCTTCTGAATCCATATGTTGAGGAATAGCAGGATTCCTTTTCAAGTGATTAGGAAATAAAATAACAGGAGATAAATTGAGAGTTATTTGTTAATTCATCATCCATCTTACTCACTTTTGAAAGGCTTGAAGCCAGCTAAAATTTCATTCTGATAACTCTTTCCCACCAGCTAAAGATAAGACAAAATTCAACTCACAGAGAAAGAAAAATGGAATTCATAAAACAGTAAAAATTGCACAAAGAAAAGCATCTTTCTAATTTGCCTTATAGAGTAGGAATATTTATCTCCATAAAACTATGGAAGCTAGGAAAATCTTTACTCCCTTGAACCAACTGTTAGTGGCAGCCTGTCATGATGAAATATATGTAGAGGTATAACATTTTTAATTGTATTAATATATTTTTCTTTTCATATTTCTTTCCTTCCATGAGACCTTACCTTATTTGGTCACAGAATTTATATTACCTCGGGGGGGGGGGAAATATTTTTAATTTTTAAAAGAAGCCTTTACAAAGCAAAAACTTGGAAGTCTGACATTTAGTTTTATTGTAAACTACAGGATTGAGAGGCCCACAGATGACATAAGAGAAATTATTTCCTCCTCCTTTTCATATCCCCCTTGATAAGAAGAGGAAAGAAAAAATCCAATTTATGGTTTATGAAGGTGAAACTGGGAGAATAGAGATAGAGAGATATCTTTTTATCTATCTAACATTATCTAGAAATTATCACACACAAACCTCAGAACAAAACTCCCCTGAGAGGAAATACTTACCATCCACTGACAAAGTTTTCAGCAGCTGCAAGCTTTCTTTATCTGTGAGTTTAATTGCCATGTTCCCCAGAATATTTTGAACATCCCTGGAATCAATTTTCTTTCCTTTGAAAAGTTAGAAAAAGAGACCAGAAAGATTTTTAGGAATTATTTAACAATTCCTACATAAGCAAAATAGCACTCTTGCTTATACAGTACCACTCGTATTCCACTATAAACCAAACCCACTACCATCGAGTCAATTGCGACTTCATAGCGACCCTATAGATGAGAACAAAGATATGAGACATAGTCAATTAATCACACAATCTAAAATAGAGAGTCATGTTCTAGTAATCCTCTTAAAGTTTCATATTAGATCAATAGAGCACACAGTTTCATAACTGTTCATTGAAATGATGATATTACATATTAGTAATCTGATTCTACCAACACGTAGTATTGTTATTATTTTCTCCTTGAATTATGAGGATGATTGTCTACAAATATGTAGATAAAATCTGAGGGAAAAAAACATTTTATCCTGATATTTACCCTCTAAGACACTGTTTCTTAATCTATAAAATAAAGATTGTAACAGTATCTATATCATAGTTGTGATAGTAATAAAGAAATTAATGTATGTAAAGCCCTTAACACAGTGCCTGGTACATGTAAAGTGTCCAATAAATAGTAGCAATTGCTATTTTTATTATTCTGAGTTAGTTTTTATATTTCTTAAGTGTGGCAAAGTAAAGCATAATACCGGTAAAGCCTCTGAAGAGTGGAGGGCTTCTATCAAGAACCAGCAGTATAGTTTTATTTTGAAAACACTGAAATTCAAACTATAGTTCATTAGAAAAAAATTTCATCAGTTAATAAAGTGGCAAGAGTAACAAAGTAATGATTATATAATTCAAAATACTGTTGCAAAAATATATTTTAAAAAGCATTACTATCTCAGTTTTACCTCAACTTCTTACCTGTAATAGCTTTAGCTACATTCATCAGTTTATTAACTTCAACTCTCCCATCAGCTGTAAGACAAGGCACAAATCACAGAGACCACATGAGATTCAAAAACACAATATGGAATTTTTTTTTTTTTTTTTTGGCTTTAACAAAGAGAAATGTATTCTCTCACAGCTTGCTGTTGTTGTTAGGTGCCATCAAGTTGGTCCCCACTCATAGCTACCCTATGTACAACAGAACAAAATACTACCCAGTCCTGCACCATCCTCACAATTCTTGTTATGCTTGAGCCCATTGTTGCAGCCACTGTTTCAGTCCATCTCATTGAGGGTCTTCCTCTTTTTCGCTGACCCTCTACTTTACCAAGCATGATGTCGTTCTCCAGGGACTAGTTCCTCCTGATAACATGTCCAAAGTACGTGAGAGGAAGTCTCACCATCCTTGCTTCGAAAGAGGATTCTGGCTGTACTTCTTTCTTCCAAGACAGATTTGTTCGTTCTTTTGGCAGTCCATGGTATACACAATATTCTTCACCAACACCATAATTCAAAGGCGTCAGCTCTTCTCTGATCTTCCCTATTCAATGTCCAGCTTTAGTATGCACATGAGGCAACTGAAAACATCATGAATTGGGTCAGGTGCATCTTAGTCCTTAAGGTGACATCTTTGGTTTTTAACACTTTAAAGAGGTCTTTGGCAGTAGATTTGTTCAATGCAATACGTCATTTGATTTTTTTAAAAATTTTTTTATTGTTGTAGTTTAAATGAAGTTTACATTTCAAGTTAGTCTCCCATACAAAAATTTATACATACATTGTTATGTGGCCCTAATTGGTCTCCCCATACTGTGACAGCACACTCCTCCTTTCCACCCTTGATTCTCCATGTCTATTCAACCAGCTCCTAACCCTCTCTGCCTTCCCATCTCACCTCTGGACAGAAGCTGCCCATTTAGTCTCTTGTATCTACTTGAACTAAGAGGTACACTCCTCACGAGTATCACTTTATCTCCCACAGTCCAGTCCAATCCCTGACTGAAGAGTTGGCCTCGGAAATTATTTTAGTTCTGGGCTGATAGAGAATCTGGGAGCCATGCTTTCCAAGGTTCCTCCAGTCTCAGTCAGACCATTAAGTCTGGTGTACTTGCTAGAATTTGAGTTCTGCACCCCACCTTTCCCCTGCTCCATCAGGGACTCTCTGTTGTGTTCCCTGTCAGGAGGTCATTGGTGGTAGCTGGGCACCATCTAGTTCTTCTGGTCTCAGGCTGATGGAGTCTCTGATTTACCTGGCCCTTTTGTCTCTTGGGCTAACATTTTCCTTGTGTTTTTGGTGTTCTTCATTCTCCTTTGCTCCAAGTGGGTTGGGACCAATTGAAGCATCTTAGATGGCTACTCGCAAGCTTTTAAGACCCCAAATATCACTAACCAAAGTGGCATGCAGAACATTTTCTTAATAAACTTTGTTATGCTAATTGACCGATATGTCCCCTGAAACCATGGTCCCCAGACCCCAGCCCAAGCTACTCTGTCCCTCAAAGTGTTTAGCTCTGTTCAGGAAACTTCTTAGCTTTTGGTTTAGTCCAGTTGTACTGACTTCTCCTGTACTGTGTGATATCCTTCCCTTATTAAAAATAAGGAAACTGAGACCAAATAATTAAGTGACTTGATCACAATCACACAGTTTGTAGATGATGAAGTAGAAGTAGAGGGGAATTATTGCCCATAGGGCAAACGTTTGATCAGT